GGGCTTCCCCAGTGTGGCTGCTTACTTCATTAAACCAGCAAAGAGAAACTCTAGAGCAAATGTATTAGCAAATCAGTCACAATATAACACAACAAAACATAACTTATCATAAAATAACAGCATCACATAATCATGCTATCCCATCACTTTTGCCATATTCCATTGGTTGGAGAAAAGTCAAAGATTCCACCCATACTCCACAGTATGAATAGCAAAAGTCAGGCATCGTAGGTGGGTGCTGATGAGACCGTCCACCACTAGGTTGGATTCTGATTGCTAATACTTATTTTTGTTAAAATTTCTCAGTCATTCCTTGGCTTGACAAAGTTTAGCACTTGACAGGTTTCTTAAGAGCTTATGAGTGTAATATTTCTTGATTCCTTTCTTCCTCTACCCTTAATATTTTAAGGATAGATTAGCTGGTTATAAAATCCTTCCTTGGCTCACACTTTCTTTCCTTAAATTTGTTAAGATCTTGCTATGGGTTGTATGACCTACACATTGTTGTCAAGAAGTATGATATAAGCACACTTTTCTTTCCTTTGCAATTGACTTGATCATTTTTCTGGATTTCCAAAGGACTTTTTTTTGTTGTTGTTGTTGTTTCTCTGTTTTCCTTGACTCTCAAAGTCTAATTTTTCCATTAGGCAGTGTCTTTAGAATTGATCTCATTGAAGATTGATTTTCTCAGGTACATGGGAGACACTGAATACGCAGATTCAAAGCTTCTTTTATTTCCATAAAGTTTTCTTGGATCATTGGTTTAAATGTTACTGATGTCATATTATTTTGTTTTTCTTTTTCAGAGTTTCCAAAAATATGTATTTTAGATCTTTCCCCACATGCCTCCCCACTTCTGTATCTAACCCTTCTTTTTTTAAAAAAAATATTTATTTATTTATTTTAATTAGGTATATAACAGCAGAATGCATTTTGACATATTGTAAACAATTGCAGCACAACTTTTCATTTCTGTAGTTGTACACAATGTAGAGTCTCACCATATGTGCAGTCATACAAGTACCTAGGGTAAAAATGTCCATCTCATTCCACCATCTTTCCTGCCCCCATCTCCCCTCCATTATGGATCAGCATCCA